GGTAAAAGCCCAGCTTTGAGCACAAGGATGAATTTTCCAACTAACACATCTAAGATTCTGTGATAAACAGAAGACACACAGCCTGAAAAGTACAGCTGGGTCAAAACACTGCCAGGTGAGAATCTCTGCTGAAGCCCACAGGCAGGGGCTTTCACAGTGTGACGTTTTGAAACCCCCAAGCCATGCTCAGCCTTACTGGAGTCAACAGCAAAATTCTCTAGAGCTGGGAGAAGTGCTTGAACTGATGGTGGAAAAACAGGATTTGCTGAGGGAGACAAACTAGTAATACATACAGTTCATAAGCAGCTGTATTCATAAGGAGCAATGGGCTATTGTTACAGGTTTCTGTCTGTAACAAATGAACAGTATTGGAACCCATTATGATATGTGCTACCATCATCTCTGGAAGGCATCCAAGCCCTTGAATTCTCTGTTAATAACAACAAACAGAAATTCTCATCCAGAACTAGGGGGACAGGTACTGAACAGGGTGATCTGGGCTGTCTCCCAAGTCCCTGTGATTCCCTAAGTAACCTGGGACATATTAAACTGATTTTTGCAGCACAGAGTTCCCTCTAAAACCATAGATTAAATTCACTGCTGAAAAAACCCATTCGGTATTATTTTTCTCAACATTTATTATTTACTTAGAATAAATTTATTGTGTCTTTGGCATATGCAAGAAGAGAAATTTAACTTTCGGTAAGAAAAAAAATATAGTTCCCAAAGGCAACTGCGTGTAGAATCATAAAGCACAGCTAAGGTTAGCTTAGAGACAAGATTCATTTCTTCTCATCCTGAGAGTGTGACCAGACAGGCTTACGTTTTTGAATAAAGGCTTCAATACCCTCCTGCCCATCTCTCAAAGTCAAATTGTCTACCATGACCTGAGTAGTCATTTTGTAAGCAGTATCAAGGTCCTGTGCCATCTGTCTGTAAAAGGTGGCTTTTCCCAGTGCCAGGATGGATTTGCTGCTTTCGCATATCTTCTGAGAGATTTTCATGGTCTCTTCTTCCAGCTTGTCTTCTGGTACCACCTTGCTGACAAGCCCGTGCATTAATGCTTCTTGAGCAGAAAGAGGTTGACCTGTGAAAAGCATCTCTAATGCAACCTGAACAAGAAAAAATATTGTATTAAGTCAATTCAACTGCCTTACTGCTTTGGTTTGTTTGGGGAATTTCAGCTTCCTCCTTCAAGTACAAGTTACTCTTTTGACAAACATAAGATTTACTAAGGAACCTGAAGGTGCACAAGTCCATGGGACCTGATGAGATGCATCTGCAAGTCCTGAGAGAACGGGTGGATGAAGTTGCTAAGCCACTATCCATCATATTTGAGAAGCTGTGGCAGTCCAGTGAAGTTCCCACTGACTGGAAAAGGGGAAACATAACCCCCATTTTTAAAAAGGGAAAAAAGGAAGACCTGGGGAACTACAGGCGGCTCACTCTCACCTCTGTGCCTGGCAAGATCATGGAGCAGATCCTCCTGGAAACTATGCTAAGGCAGATGGAAAATAAGGAGGTGACTGCTGACAGCCAACATGGCTTCACTAAGGGGAAATCATGCCTGACAAATCTGGTGGCTTTCTACGAGGGGTTATAGCATCTGTGGACAAGGGAACACCAACTGACGTCATCTACCTGGATTTGTCCAAAGCATTTGACACTGTCCCACATGAGATCCTTGTCTCTGAATTGGAGAGACATGGATTTCATGGATGGACCACTCAGTGGATAAGGAATTGGCTGGATGGTCACACTCAAAGAGTTGCGGTTGACAGCTCAGTGTCCAAGTGGAGACCAGTGATGAGTGGTGTTTCAGTACCTCAAGGGGCCTACAAGAAAGGTAGAGAAGGACTGTTTACAAGGGCATGGAGTGACAGGACAAGGAGGAATGGCTTTAAGCTTAAGCTGAAGGAGGGGAGATTTAGATTAAATATTAGGAAGAAAATCTTTCCTGTGAGGGTGGTGAGGCACTGGCACAGGTTGCCCAGAGAAGCTGTGGATGCCCCATCCCTGGCAGTGTTCAAGGCCAGGTTGGATGGGGCTTTGGGCAACGTGGTCTAGTGGAGGGTGTCCCTGCCCATGGCAGGGGGGTTGGAACTGGATGGTGTTTGAGGGCCCTTCCAACCCAAACCAGTTTGTGATTCTATGATTCAAATTTTTTGGCCTCTTAAACTGCTAAAGAAGTATTAAGAGGTTTCAGCAAAGAGAAGGACTAAGTCTAAAGCTGGCCTTTTTTCAAACCTGCCCACCGACTGCATCTGTCATGGGCTGACACCTCTGGGTTTCTTTCCAAGAGCCCAGAATCTCTAGTGATTGCAGTAGGAATTAAGAGAGATGTGGATGGTCCACAATGTCAAATGACTGAACTCGGTATTTTAAGCTAGGTCTATAACAACAAATAAAGACTTAAGTCAATGTGTAATTTTTGAAAATACCTGCCTTAGTTTAAGGTTGGTTGGAGTTTTTTAAAATATGTCCCCCCCGTAGCTGCATCTATTTCAGTCTCCCGGTGCTTCCAGCATCTTGTACTTGAGGTTTCAAATTAAAAAATCCCCCAAATATTCAGTGACTATTCAATATTATACATCAATCACAATTTTTTTCCATGACTCCTGATGCAATTGACCAAACACCTGAATCATAAGAGTTGATTATTCTCTTTAGTATCTTTCCTCTGGTAGCTACAAACAATGGCAACTTTTCATTTGATAAAAGGTAAAAATCAGCAATCCTGAGAATTGTAGGGAATATTCTTGCTAGTTTGAAAAATGGCACAGAGAAAAATATATCCCACACATTTTAAAAAGGTAATCATAAACCCCAGAAATACTAATTCAGAAACAGTCATAACAGTGCACAACAGCACACTTGAAAAAAACTCCACAGACTATATTTAAACATGATGGCCTTACAGAAGGGAAATTTAAAGTTGAGGCTTTTATCCAGCAATTGTGGACTTGTGCAGTTAAGTCCTTGCATCTCAGTAGAGCCCTGCTGGGCTTGGAGAGTCTGTCTGCATGAATCCAACTGGGTCAGAACTTAAAATTTCTTTTCTCAGTTATGGAGGGTTTACAGATTTACTGTTGCTTATGGTGTGAGAGATGTGTAGTCACAATCAGTAGGGAATAAAGGAGCAAAAAAGTATAGGAGGGTTTTAGATGCTATTTAAAGCATCTTGATCTACACATAGGCAGATCATGCTGGCAGTGAAATGTCACTGCCTGGCAAGAATTGATACCTCAGTGGGACCGATATCCTGAACTTGCAGGGGTTTCCTCATCAGGGGAGAATATCATTGTCTGAAGCACAGACAGGAAAGGAAAGGGATCGCTGAGCTTGTGTGCTGCAGGTATGAGTTCCTGCTGGTTGGAATTGTATCATAGGAAGCTGCTTTCCCTAAACAGAGTTCATCCCTTTATTATTTTTCCCAGTCCAAAGAGTTATTAAGATGTCTTTTGCAATTAAGTATTTTGGATGTTGTATGGGAGGAAAATAAAGTTTAGGCAATGGAACTAAAACTCCTAACATAGACCTACTTCTTGCAGAATTACAAAGAGTATCTGGGAGGGAAACCTACCTTTCTTGGAAGAGATCTGCCCAAGGCCACACCTGGTGTGGAGCAGAACAGTCCAATGTTTACTCCAGGAGTAGCAAATTGAGATTTCTCACTCGCCACTGCAATGTCACAGCTTGCCACAAGCTGACAGCCTGCTGCTGTAGCCAAGCCATTTACTTTGGCAATCACTGGTACTGGAAGTTTCTGGATTAAAGTCATAACCTGCTTGCAGAAAAGAAAGGGGTCAGTTAGTCCCTGAAATGTAAGCAGTGGCTGTTCTAAAACTTGCAATTGCTTCACACACCTGATGCGTGCATTTTTCAGCTTTATTAATTGGACTTCAGTAAGAGAAGCGAGCTCTCTGCAAAACCTGTTTTAATGCACAAGACCACTGCTGTTCCAGTAGCTGCCCAGTTATAGCATGAGTTGGTCCTGCGAACTCCAGTGGAAATGGAAAACAGGAGAATAAAAGGCAGAAACACTTATTATCAGATCTGCCTCTGCACTGCAGGTCTACTGTTCCTGGCTGAGGGAAGATGTATATCCAAGACATATCATGTGCCCCATAATAGAAAACTGACTCAATAAAAATCTCTGTCCTGAGAAATTAAACCAGCCTGTTGCTGGTGTCTGCATGATCTCCAGCTTGGGTTGATCTCACCCAAACACAATCACTGGATTTCTTTCTAGGCTTTCTCTGCATTCCAGGGAGAGACTTACCTGCCAGGAAACAAATTTTCCTACTTGATTAGATGTAAGATGGGAAAATACACTCAATCTCTCATTCCCTCTCTCTCTCTCTCTCAGGCTGGACATCCAACTTCAGATAGCTAAAGTTAAGAAAGATGAATTTGTCTTAACTTTCCTAACTGAGATTCTCCTTCCATACAGGGGGGATCAACAAAATCACTTAATTTTAATGCCTGAAGATAGAAAATCCTAGTTAAAGTATTACAGACATCTGGATTAAAAAAATAAAATCTCATATTAGCACAGTGTAGCAAAATAACAAATTTTCGTTTGCTACCCATTTCTCCAGTAAATGAAGTCTTGCAAATTTTATGTTGCTTAGGTAAAATGACCTACATTCAGTTTTGAATTTGATCAGTGTTTGTCTCTCTTCTTCTTTGTTTAAAAACAATTTTTCAGTGGATCTCAAGAAGCAGACAACAAAAGAGTAACAATACATGCATGTGTGCAGACAAACAACTACAGGGTACTCTTGAGGTTATAAAAATTCAAAGTCAACTGCTTCTCTGAAAAAAAAAACCAAAAAACTCAGGTACTTATGGTTTTGTATTTGAAAAGCCTCTGGAGAAGTGAAATTCTCAGCTGGCTCAAACTTGTATGTGGAGAGTGCTTAGTTCTCAGATTATAGAGTCTTGCTGACATTGTTATGTGCATGGGGAAACAGAGGTATAGCAGCTGAGATGATTTGCTGAAGATTACCAGGCATAGACAGATGTAGATGCCAAGGCTCCTGAAAACCAGTCCAATGCTCTGGACCCCCTAGTCCACAATGCTGTAGGTGTGTCAACTAGGGTAGGATCCATTCTACTTAAGTACTGAAATTTAGGAAGACACAATCTCATTTTGGAAGCCCTCAAAAGTAGCTTTTTCTATTGACCAAAAAAAAAGCAAAACTCAATTATTCTACCAGACAACTAAAATTTAGATATTAATTAGGATCCTACATAAAGCCTAAATTAATTTCTCTATTTCTGTTTGCCTGTAAAGTGCCAATATTATTTAACAGCAAGAGCTTCTTCCTCCACAGGGATAATAGTGAGTTGTGATTTATGAGAAACTTAAATCCCTTTAGGATATTCAGATAGAGAGTTTAAAGCACTTACCACTACCATGAACATCAGAAAAGGGATCACTTCAACTGTCATTTCATCTCTTACATTTAATTTCTTCCTGAACTTGCTTTGCCAATTTCACAGAAGCATTTAGTTCGGCAGTGACCTCTTGAGATCATGGAGTCCAGCCCCCCTACTGAAGCTCAGGTAGAGCAGGTTGTCCAGGACTGTGTCCCAGTTTTTAATATCTCCCTATCTCTGAATTTCAGGGGCTTGGGAATATTCATCTGAAATTGGGATAGCATTTTTTATTCGTAATAATGTTCCCTTACTAAACTCACTATCACTAGGGCACTATTCTCACAAAGAAAGCTAGGCTTGTTTTTAACTCTAAATGCTGACATTCTGTTGGGGTTTTTTTGCTATTTCTCTTTATTAATCAAAGTTAAGCTTGCTATACTACTCATTAATCCTGGATATAGCCACAGTGCTAGTTATACACACAGGACAATTTAAATTCCTCTGGTCCTTAAAGTGAGAAATTTACCGACTCTGGATTTCATGCTGTATGGAATAAGTTTCACAGTTTTTTCTGCCTGATCTTTCCTATTCTGTGACCCAGAAGCTGCATGGTTCAGTTTTCCACTGACTGTAACAGACTGGTATTCTGCCCTGCAACTGCAATATTAATATTAAACTACTGGCTAATATTAAACTATTGGCTACTAACCTATTGGACCTTGGCTCCTTTCAGATGAAGAGACTAACGTGTCATTCAGTCATATCTGTGCTTACCGCTTTGTGATCAGCACACCCAGATGAAATCCAGGCAAAGCTGCCAGGCTGATTCCTTCGTATTACCCTGAAGACCTTTCAGGGGTAACTGTCACACATGGCTTTTACAGCATTTGTTAAATATGGGCTTGACAATGTGTATAGAGATCGTTATTACTGGAGGAACTAGAACAAAAGGTTTCAAATTACTTGCTGTGGTCACACTGAGCAGGATTAGGGGACAAATTCTAGTGCTGCTACAGTCAAGGGAGTTTTGCCATTCTCTCCAAGACACGTATGGGTCTGCTGACTGGACAACCAGTGAGTCAGATCTTACTGCCATACTGTCTACTTGATCTTTAAGCTGGTCTCGAGTTTTTAGCTAGATGCTGTGAAAGAACATTTGATCACGAGTGGTTTGAAGGTGGTCATTCCTAGGTTTCTAGGAAAGACATTGCCCAAATACTCAGCAGCAAGGAACACTGGCTAAACTAAGGAACCATACCCATTGTAGGAGACTTGTACATTGGCATTCTAGCCCTTTTATTTGCATGTAGAGAAATCCAGGGAAAACATAATTTCACCAGGATCAGGTATTAAAATGGCAGAGCAGCAAAAAGCAAGGAATCTGGAGCAACAGTCTGTGCTTTAGCTAGCAGATGGGCAATGCTGTGCCTCCTTAAACCAGTATCATTGCTTGCTCCTAATATGAGGCTAAAGGGGTGGCATCTAAGAAGAACTGCTTACCTCTGCACATATTTCAAATACTTGGGAATGATACTTCACATCATCTTCACTTGACAATTCCTTTAAATCATGGCCGGAACAAAACACAGGTCCTTCAGCTGCAAAGAATTCCAGGAAAAGTCAGTCTGAATTAATCAAAAAACCAGGGGCAACGGCATATCAATGCTGCAATTAAAGGCATAGAGGTGTCAATGGTGAAAAACAAGGAGCCTGGGGAGGGAGTTTTACACAGAGTTCTGAAATATTGCCTGCTGGGCTTTGTAACAACTTTAAATTGCCACAATGCAACATTTAACCACAGTAAGACATTTTTAAAGACCTACTTTTACTTCCATTCCAAGTTAACTCAGTTAAAAATAGGGCACTTCACACCTCTGAGCCCAGTTTCTTGTAAGGATACCCTACTAAACAGCTCCTTGGTAAAATGTAAAGTAGCCAGCTGGAGGAGGATGGAGTGCTCTGCTCTCAGACTAACAGATACAGTTATTCCCTACTGATTGAACCCAGCATTAATGATTAACTTTTGCTAAATAAGCATCAAGATTTTTGTGTCATGGCATTCAAGGCCACAATGGAAAAAAAAAACCAAACCAAAACAAAAAAACCCAGGTTGCTCTGCTAGAGGAGATCCAGAAGGGTCGCTGGGGCATCTTTTCCTCCACCACTAAAACTGTCATCTAGAGAATCCCAAAAGCACGTCTGGGGTTTGGGCAGCAAAAGAGTGGGTTGCTGCGGACCTAAGTTTTGGATTTGCTTGCCTCCAGTGTCAGCTAAGATCCAAACACCCTTTATGGGTACACTACCTTTACAACAGTTTTCCTTTGTCATGAGGGTATCTGCTGTAAGAATAAACCAACTTTATGCTTCTGAGTCCTTCAGAACTTCTCAGATATTTGTATAGACGTGACATTTCCAGCTACAACTATGCAGGCACAACCTTACCTATGCATTTGTTTCTTATGGACCAGATTAGTGTGGCACATTCTATCCAGAAATAACCACACAGTTAACATCAGTCAGCTCATGGGATCACCAATATATACCTGGGAATTAATCACATCTGCGTTTGTGCCTCACTGAAGAAGAATCCCCTGCAAAGTCTGTGTCAAAGACTCAAAGCGTTCCCTGAGAAGTCTTTTATTTTGTTGAGATTTCTCCTTTCAGCAAGGGAATTGGAAATCAACAGGAAAATGCAATTTCTTTTTAAACTAAAACAAAAAAATGAAATTAAATCATGCTCACAAACTCCCAGACTGCTGTATTCCCAAAGAAGAACCTGAAGTGTTTCACAAAATTTGTAACTGCTGTTTGAAACATTGTATATACATATTTAAACTCACCCCTGAGAGGTTAGCTTACTTCCACACATACAGACACTGTTTTCCTCTATGTACAGGAAACAACAGCATTCTAAACTAATAAACCTGTTTTTCCAAGATGTTTGAAAGGGGGGCAGGGGAAGATTACCTTAAAATAGCAGAGGAAAAAAAGATGGCTTAAGAACAGCTCAAGTTTCATTAGCTTTAAGAACTCTACAGGTTAATACCTAAATGGAAGAAAACTCTAATAGGCTCTGAGAGATAATGTTTTATATCTGCAGGTTACGGGCGACTGCAGTATCGATATTATGGTCTCTCCTTCATCGGAGAGTTTTAAAAACAGTTTTGAGAAATGAGTGGCAAAGATAAGGAGGCTGATCTGGCTTAGGGCCCAGGAACGGAGCACACAGTTTGAAGAAACCTTGTGAGCCATTTACACCCATCTATACCTGCCTCCAAAGTCAACAAGAGTCTGACCCCAGCTCAGCCTGCATGAAAACCTCTATCTGGGAATGTTATTTCTGTGGTCTGATATTAGAACCTGGCTTTTTTTCTGTTTAAAGTATTCTTTACATACAGTTTTTAAAACAGTTATTTCATCTATTGATTGTTTTTACAAAGGGAAAAAGCTCATCGGCTCTGTAAACATGCTGCACAACCTGACTGAAACACTGACATTTTGAAACGTGTTTCTTCTTAGACATGTTAACTGTCAACAAAACCACAAGAAACCCCAAGTCAATTGTTAATGCAGTGTTCAAGACTGAGGAGTTAAGTCAGAGTGGAAATTGGGATGGGTGGGGAAGAACAGGGCGAGAGCAGGGTCTGAGGGGTGAAGGCACCTGTGGGACGCCCTGCACGTTCCTGCCCAGCTGTGCCGAAAACTACACGCAGGTCCCTTCCCATCCCATTTTCTGTAATTCCGTGAGAGGTTTTGGGTTAAACTCCGTATTGTCCCATTTCTGCTTCTTCCCTCGCCCCTCCTTTCTCTTCTGTCGGCCTGAAATGACGAAATACCTGAAGTGACGAAATACCTGAAATGACGATAACTCGGAGGTCTTTGCTTTTGACGTCGTGCAGCAGGTCCTCCCTGAGGCACTGCAGCATGGAGAGGGACAGGGCGTTTCTCTTCCTCGGGTTGTTCAAGATAATGTTTCTGTGGAAACCATTAAACACAAGGAGAGTTACTATTTCAAAAAGCATTCAGAGCCTCCGGGACGGGCCCGCAGCGGTGCCTCCCTCCTCTGCCCCCACCCCCGGCCGCCGCCTCACCG